GAATGAGAACATTTGTGTCATTCTTATCAAAAACTTCATGTACTTAAATTTAAAATGGGTATATCGAATGTAGTCCAGATGATAAAGCGTCCGAACTATGTGCTTAGTTAAAGTTCAGCATAGCATAGCTCCAGTCAGTTTGATCTTATAGACACTGAAGCGGATAGCGATCGAATTTTGTACAAGATTGTTCATTCGCAATTTGAGAAAGTATCAGTTTCATACAATAGTTAAAGGATGACGCAATCTATTTCATATAAATGCTTCTTTTCTTTTTCATCCAAAGGCAACAACCTATCATCATCTAAAACTCAACATATAGCGCCCAATCTGTTGACTGAGAATGCTGCAACGCTGTTCACACCAACTGCTTCTAGCGATGATAATGAAATTCATCTATTAGTATGTGGTGCTCCAAGAGTTGGAAAATCAACATTGATTAATGCTCTATGTGGTCTTCCCGTAGCTAAAGTGAATAGTGCGATAGGACTCGATCAATGCACACAAACGACAAATTTTTACAAAATAGACAATATCTATTTTTGGGACACACCTGGTATTCAACAATGGTCTGATCTAGATATTGATTCATATATTAATTCAGTCTCATCACGCCGAGTACCACTTTGTATGTTCTATTGTGCTTCGCCAGGCTCTTTCGCCAAGCTGAAGCAACTTGATAAACTACTCGAACAATGCATTTGTCATCAACATATTTACTGTGTCCTAGTTGTTACTAACATGTTTGCTGGTATCCATCGGAACGCTATACTGAACGAGTTCAAGAAGCTTTTGGTCAAATATGTTGATGGTAATAAAGATGTGAAAGAAGAAGATGGAGTGTGCTATTATGGACAGGTGGGATTATGCACCATGGTCAATAGTCAAGAGTACGAGGACGAAGATACTGGTGTGCGACAGCCACAGAGAGGTGTGAATGAGTTAATTCTAGGTGTAATGAAATCCTTGAAGGGACAGCGACAACTTCATGACTGGTTACATACTGTCCAGAAGAACAGAAAGTTTTGGTTGGAGAAACAGAAGGAGCTCTATGGATTTGCGCAATAGATAGATATAGACAAACACAAGAATTAAACTAGTGGCTTTTAACATAAACTATGCACGTTTCGAGTAATATTCTCATAGACCTATGTGTTTTTTGTCTTACTTTTCATAATGACTTGAATAATGTCGTTTGTAAGAACAGATTTGTTATTTTGATATGTGTGACGAACTAGGTGTGGGTATGCGTGTGGGTGTAGATAGTGAGTTAACCATCCACACCCACACCTCTAATCATTAAATTATTCATTCTTTCTTTTTGATTCGATAAATGTTTTTGCATCGTTGTAAGATAGATGTGTTTCGATCAAGTCATTGAAAACATGAACATATGATTTAGATTAAACACAATTGGAACCTTGAAAAAGTTCTTATTTTCCTTTTTCTGTCGAGACAAAAACTATAGATGCTTAAACTGAAATAAATTTCATCACTTACGTTCACGTATGCCACAACTTCTTAAAGTAGATTAGATTTCAATAGGAGAACATTGACGAACTCTACAACTTACATTCTATAATATAAATTATAATATACATTAAATTAAAAATAAAGATTAAAACAATGCTTCTTTATTTTCATTTTTATCACATAAATGAATCATTAAAACATTTTAAAACTATATCTGATTTTGCTTGAAACATATACGTACATAGAAGTTATAGTTTATAATTGTGATGAGACTTTATTTTTTTGCCTTTTGTCCGATGAAGTGACTGTATAGTTTTAAAATTTTTTATTGATATTTGAAGTCGAGCTAAGCAGCTACTCTTAAAAACTGTCATAACTAGAATGTCTATCGTCGAACTACAGATTTTCAAAATGAGAAAATGTTTTTAGAAGACATATTTTCCCTCTGAGTATAACTCTTATAGTCAAATGATATTTTTCTCTTCAATCTATCGTAATGAAATAAAAGAAATAATCTAATTGATAGGGTTACTTGTACTCTATTAAGTAATACGTAATTCAACCTTAATCTTCGTAACTGAAAGAAAAAATTATCAAAAAACAAAATCTATATAGTGAACCATATATGTCAACTTTTTGAAAGAATTTTCGACCATCTTGAGGGCGTGGGTGTCGATATTATATTCATCTAACTTTGTTCTACAAAAATATTAACTAATCTTATTTCTAATGAAAATAGAATTTATTATATTTCACTGAATTTGAAATATGGAAACTTGTCTTTTTATATATAATGTATGTTAAAACTATCCGAATGTTTGCTTTTTCACCACTTTTATCCTTCGTATTAATATATGTCATATTCAGTATTTTTATTGTTTCATAGCATTTAAATAGAATAGAACAGAACTGTTTTTATGTTTCTTCATTTCTATCTGTGTAAATTGTATATGAAAATTGATAAGAAGCATATTTGACAACCACGTAATATACTGAAAAAGTAATTATACTTTTCAAAAACTACACAATCTATCGATTCATATTTCGAATTACATTAATATTCGATGATTTTATATGTTTTACAAAGACTTCATACATCACAAAATAAATCTAAGTATAGTGTAACAAAATTGAAATCGAGTTTTATATATTATTTGATCTATTTTGAAAGAATATTTATATTAGATTTCTTAACAATAGTTGTTCTTTTTTTTATATTTTTTTGAAATCAATTCAAAATCAGAATTAACGTTTATCTAAATATTATACAATATCAAATATAAGATTTTTTCAAGGAGAATTCGATGATTTTAAATTTTATTAGTACTCAAACAATAATAATGTTTGAAACTTTGATATATGAAACAATTCAAGTCTGTAGAATATAATCATTATAAGAGACATTAAATAACAGGGAAAGTTCATCGAACATCTTCATCTGTTATATATTTATGAGAGAAGTAATAAAGTTGATTATTTAAATATTGATTTTAATTCTGAACTATTACAAACAAATCAAATTATCACTCTTAAACTAAATAGAAAACAAAGAAAAGTATTGACAAACAATCTGAGTACATCATAAAAAAATATTTGATAAAATTTCAAAGGTATTAACAACAAAAACTTACATATGATATTGATTATAATAGGAATCTGTAATATCCAATCGAATCATTGTCAATATTCTCTATCAACTCAGAAATAATAGTTTAAAAATATTAAATAATAGATAAAAGAAACATCTATATAGTTTTTCTTTCTTACTATATCATCATTTTACTCGGTTCATTACTTATGAAATATCTTTTTTTATTTAATTAAATGAAAATAATAATAAAATCAGTGGTATTTATTTTTAATATAGAATTGATTATTTCATATTTGGATCAGAATATTCATTTTTATACAATAATTACTCTTTAGAATAATTGCAAAGATATATTGATAAGAAAAATGTCAATAACTGTTTTTTCTGCACTTTACATCGAACTTTCGCTCATCATTAATGAAAATCTTGTTGATAGAAAATAAAATTTCTAAACATTTACAGAATATTGAGCTTAGTTGAAATAATTTTTAGGCATCATGTATATATTCGATTGATGTTGTCGAAAATATTAATGCTTTGATATGTATTTTTTCATATTATTACTGACACGTCCAAATGTTTTCTTCGTATTGACGTCAAACACTAGTTAGTTTGAAAAGATGAGTAATAGCTTGATTAATGAGCCATAACATCGTTATGAAATGTAAAGAATAGATAAGACCAGTGAAAATGAAAACAGAAAAATAAGAAAGAAAGATGCGGAGGTGCTGTCGGTATATAATCAACAAATATCACTAATATTTTTACATTCAAAATCAGATATCCCATACGCATTAATATAAGGTAAGCAGTGTTTTTATCCAATATTATTACCTGTTTGCGCGTATAGTATGAACGAATAAGTTATTAATACTGTAGCAAAAGTAGGGCAACTTATGACATTTGTGAGTGAATACAGAATCATTTGAGAAAATATAAAACTTAAATATATATTCCGAAATTATAGAGAGTTTATATTTTACTTGATGTTCTCATTGTTAGATAACTTTGATCAATTTTTTTCATCAGTGCGTTATAATGATCAGTCTTTACTGAAGTTCATCTAGTTTCTCATATCAGATCTAGCGTTGAATTCTTCAAGCCCATTCAACCCAACAGTAACTAGAAAGATTTTTCGTTACATCAGTTAATTCATAGTCAAATTCTGTTATATTTATACGACTGAAAAGAACTATATCGATAGAATAGCATTAATTGAATTATTAAATTCTTATGAATAATTTGATTTGATCAGACACTCATTTGAAAACAAGCTTAACAAGAAACATAAGACATAAATAAAAATACAATGAAATAGATAATTAGCATTTATATGAATTAGTAAAGAAGTTGATATCGAAGATCGAGCTGGATAGCTCTAGTGAATCTTAAGTTCATCCAAAACCATCCGCCTGATGTAATGAGGTTTGCGTGGTTTGAAAGGTAGGATGTTCAGGCCTACTTTCTACCTTATTTTAAGTGACATTTAGGCGGGAGAAGCGACAGTCAGTGCGCATGACAGAGTGAGATATTCAAGCAGACAAGATTTTGCAAAAGAGCGTGTAAACGTTCAAAAAACCTTTTTTTCTAGTGTTTAAACGCGTGCCGACAAGAGAAAACTTTGTGATTTATATTAAAAAGTTAAGATATGAACAAATTCTCTCAGTTTCTTTTTGTATTGGAAAAATTCTAAATGAGAAAAGTTAAACTTTGCGTTGTTTCTATGTTAAATTATCTGAAAAAATGAAGTAATAGTTCTAATAGCCGAAATAATTCTTTATTTATTTTTTCAAAAACAAAAATATTATATTAATATTCTTTAGTATTTTCAGATATTTATTTTTCTTTTATTGTCGAATAAAATCATTGTATTTTCTTTTTATTAAGATTTTTATCAATCAAATCTCTCGGCAATCCTAGTACAGCGATTATATCAATGAATACAACAGCAGCATTATGTGAAAATCTAACTCACTCTCAAATAAAAGAAGGTATGTTTCATTAAAAAACAATAATAGTAATTTTGTCAAATAAACAATTTTTAATTAGAAATCTGAAGAAATTAAGAAACTATTTGAAATTGATTTTGTTCGATTAAAAAATTAAATTTAACAAAATAAGAATTTTATTTTATCAAAACAAATTCAAATACAAGTTTTTCTTCTTGTTTTCGCCCTCTTTTTGATTTATAAAAAATGAAAAAGATTTTTGAATAAAAAGAAAATCCTTTTTTATTTTAGAAGAAATTCAAACAAAAAAGAATAAATATCAAGAATTTGGAATTACTGTTGCTGCAGGAAATGGAGATGGTCATCGATTAAATCAACTCAATTGGCCTAAAGGAATCTTTGTTGATAATGATAAATCAATTTATATTGCTGATTCTGATAATCATCGTATTGTTAAATGGAAATTGAATTCAAATACTGGCGAAATCATTGTAGGTGGAAATGGAAAAGGATATCAAAATAATCAATTGAATTATCCAACAAATATCATTTTTAATAAAAAAAATAATTCTTTCGGTATTTCTGATCGTGGAAACAGACGAGTAATTCGATATTTTGATCAAAATCAAACAAATCAGAAAATTATTATTTCAAATATTGATTGCTATGGTCTCGCAATCGATAAAAATGGATCTATTTATGTTTCTGATTGGCAGAATCATCAAGTAAGACGACAGAAACAAGGAGATACAAAAGGCGAATTAGTTGCAGGTGGAAATGGTAAAGGAAATCATCTTAATCAACTCAATTCTCCTACTTTTATCTTTATTGACCACAATTATTCTCTTTATATATCAGATACAGACAATCATCGTGTAATGAAATGGAAAAAAGATGCAAAAGAAGGAATTATTGTTTCTGGTGGAAATGGTAACGGAGATAGTCTCAAACAATTGAGTTGTCCTTGTGGAGTGATTGTTGATCATTCGGGTCATATTTATGTAGCAGATTACGGGAATAATCGAGTAATGCGTTGGTGTGAAGAAGATAAAGAAGGTGAAATTGTTGTGGATGGAAATGGTTATGAAAATCAGCCAAACCAATTGCATGGTCCCGTAGGTTTATCATTTGATAATGAAGAAAATCTTTATGTTGCTGATAAATGGAATCATCGAATCCAAAAATATGAAAAAATCTGACACTAAAAATATTTTTAATTTCTTTTTTTAAAATTAAGATTTTCATTTTTGAAATAAATAAAAAACATTACTTTATGAAAAATCTTGAAGAAAATAAATTAAAAAGTTCTTTTTAATAAAATAAATAAACTTGTTTTTACTTTTTAAAAAAAAAGTAAATAAATATTTATTGATTTTAATTTTAAATTAACAGAACAAAATTAAATAAAATACCTCGAATAGAATTTTTGTTGAATGAATCAAATAAAATATTATCTAAACTGAAAAAAAATTTAAATTAATAAAAAAAACTTCTAAATAGAAATTTTATGAGATTTATTTTTTTGATTTTTCAATTTACTGAGAGAAAGGGAAGATAGAAGTAAAAAAAAGATAAATGAATGAGAATGGAATGTGTTAAAATGGAAAAACTAGTTTTACGTTTAAATATTAAAAATAAAATAAAATAACAATTAGAAAAATGAAGAAAAGATGAAATTTGTTTTATTCTATTAAAAAATCAAAACTGATGAGAAAAAATTGAAAATTTTAGTTGTTTAATAAACAATTTCTTGATTATTTAAATAAAACTTCTTTTTATCAATAGGAAAATTTTGAAATAATCGAAAAACAAAAGAAAAAGATTCTTAATTAATGAAAGTTTATTTCTAAAATCTAAATAAATTATATTTTATAAGATTTTATTAGTTAACAAAATGATTCATCGAATTTAATTTAATTAAAATGATAAAAGATGACAAACGAATTGAATAATTTTTCTGTTATATTAATAAATAGAAGAAAATAATGAAATTAAATGAATAAATATTCAATATTTAACAATCAAAAATAATTCAAATGATTTTATAAAACTATTTTATCTTATTCTCAGAAGTAAGAACATATTCAATTCAACTATTTCAATATCAACAGTTTAGTGTTCAATAAGCATACGATTAGAAATCACATGAATTAGTTGTTTCGTTTTACTCACTAAACTTCTTTTCCGTCCTAAATAATTGTCGATTTATTCGAAAATAACATATATTATTCATCCTAGAATTTTGAAGAGGAACAAATTATGAATATAAAAATAAACGTGAATCAGTTCATTGACAGGTTTCGAACTTGATATTATAATTCATAATTCAATTTATGAACTAAAGTACCTGGGTGTAAGTGCGATCTCTACCTAATATCAATACCCACATCCTGTAAAGATCCTAATTTAATCCATATGATTTCTTGTCGAAATCATAATTAAGGTCACATTTTCTTGTGAGCTATGGAAATATTCATTTTTGAACAGTTCAGAGCTGAATCCTGATCGAAGATTGGCAGAACTGTGACCAGAGATATCGCTCAATTAGAGCGATTTTTATCACATAAATAGTGGCAGAAGCATTCAATAGATAATCCACATACAGAGAATAATTCAATTACATGCATTGTGACGCGTCAATGCAAAATATTTGCAACAAAAAAACAACATTGAGATCGAAGCAACAAACTGATTATCTTCCTTTTACATCGAGTTTTAAAACAATTCTACCATGCGTAAACTATTATCTGCTGTAAATATCAACAAAATCTTCGAAATAGAATGCTCTAATCAACATAAGAACATGATTTGTGAAAAAAAATCTATGTGAGCAAAGCGTTTTAACTATATTAAATATATTTAGAAATGTATGAAGTTCTGCTATGACTATATTATTAGTCATCAAAATATTGCCGAAAGATCACTGCAATAGCAGAACATATTAATAATAAATTTAGACGATAGGAATATATGAAATAGTAGGATTTTGTAGGATTTATTGACTAGTGATCTTCAAAAAAAAATGAATGAGAGTAAGAGTATAGTTTATATTTCCGATACTATAATTTCAAGAAAAAACAGCTCAATTAAAATCATTTACTTCTCCTAAATCAACAAAAATAAGTGATTGGTCTTCTATATCATTTACACAATACTTATTGATCTTCAATTAAGTGCACAAGATGCTCATAGGCATAATATTTCATAGAAATGTTAATATCTCAAGATAATGTTTTCTTTAGCTAAACTTTTTGTAGTAATGTTTGATATACTCCACATATCTCTGAAGTAATCGTCATGGTTATTAAAATGAACACAATAAGTTTCAATTCTAATAGCGATAAAAAGAACTGTATTCTCATTGAAGATAACTTGGTTAATATGAACAATTATTTTAAAACTAACTATTCAATGGTGAGATTTTGCCCTCTGGTATATACCGTTTTTTCATTAAATTCAATCAGGGAATAAATAATATAGATTTAAACACAAAGAATTCCAGCTAACAGATATTGTAATAATTGTTAATTTTTTTAAAATAAATCTTACACAGTAAAACATTTTATCCTAACAGGTTTTCTTTTAGAATACATTTTATTTCCTTTGAAAAGCGCTGGTTTCGATAGTTAATTAAGTAATCGGTGATGTCAAGTAATCCGGAAAAATTCTACTCGAAGTTTATTAATGATACAAGACATAACAAGTAAAAGCTGTAGAAATATTAGAGACAATCTGACGAGCTTATTTCTTTGAAGCCACTAGAAGTGGTTGGGGTGAGAGTGAGTGTAGGTGTTGACGTATAGGTACGGACTACTCTTCTTTCAAACCAACATTTTCATCCACACACACGACAAATCCTTTTGAAATGATTTATTCCTTTTCCGGATTACTTAACATATTCAAGTAATCAACATCCGACTTATAAAAAATTTATATTCATAGACAATAACGACTCACATCCGACAATATTTTTTCATAAAATCAAGCTTGACAAAGGAAGCGAGTTAGTCCTTTTGATCAATATATATATATTTTTCTCTTGAAAATATTTTACACTAAACAGATTATTTAAGAGGACATAACTTTCTTGTATTTTTGGTGATCTTTTGTTTTAGTTGACTTGTTTCAACATTGAGAAAAGTCAGACGTTAGTCGACGTATAGATGAACCGTAAGAGAATTGAAGAAGATTATTTTTTGTAAATTTTAGTTTGTGAAAGTCTTGAAATATGAATTCAATCTCAGCTATATGGAGAGCGACAAAGTCAACATTTACAATGTAAACTATTCGTTTTTTCTTTCATTATGTCTTTGTAATTTTTTACGTCACTCACAGAGAAAGAGAGAGATATTCTCTATATCATTCCAGCTTTAGGAAAAGTTTTAATTCATACTTATGTTATATGAAATACGACTACTTTTTCATTTTTAATCATTAAGGACAGTGTCCATATTTGATAAGAACTAAGTAATATATAAGATGTTAACAAGTACATTATTTTAATTTAGCACAATGAATTTGCAGTCAAATGAACAACCAACATTTACCAATAATGATACTTCAATCTATTTTAATAATAAACAATCAAATGTAAGTATCAATTAATATCTCGAATGAAAATTACAGATCAGTTTCTCTTGCTTTATTTTAAATGTCTGTTATAGAATTTATTGTCATCAAATATTGAATCAAGGTTTAGTCCAACAGCGAATCATGCTCTAGATTCTCATTCAATAAATGAATTAATCGATTTGCATAAGAAACGTTTACGCGAACGAATGATGTATTTCTATATCGTATCTGGAATATTCTTCTTAATTGGTTTAGTATTATTAATCATAGGTCTTGTTCTACCAAAATGCAGTACTTATTCTTATAACTGCTCATCAGCAGATTTACTATATCTCCTTTTTGGTGGAAGTCTAATGGGTAATGGCATTATCTTTGTGTTGGTGGGTCACTATGTTAATTATTATGGTACAAAACAACAATTTGAGGATATAAATTTTAGCGTTAATACACAGCAGCCAGTTTTATGGCGACTGGATGGCGAACAATGGGTACGATATTTGAATTATATACATGGTCCAAATCGAATATGGATAGAAATAGATCCATTATCATGTTTCTGTTGTCGACGTTCAACCTATGAACGATTGATGAATCGTCAATATGGTCAGATTATTTTACATGAAAATGGTTTAATAATTGATAAATTATATTTTGTTTCATTTCGACAACATACATTAGAAAGTGTACAAATACTCTACATCGATCAACATCCACAAATAATAGGTTTAAGAATACATACTTATCTTCAAAACGGACGAACTGGGAGTACTTGCTATTTTGATTTATTTGCACCACCATCAGTTTCATTGGAACAAATACAGGCACTCGCTCGAGCATACATTAGTAAAATATCTGGAGTTAGTGCACTCGATTTACCTTTGGAAGTAATTCATCTTCCTGAATCAATATTATCTACACACAGTTAATATATGATCTATTGTCACTATGATTGATTGTGTTTGCAAATTTGTCTTATTTATAAACTTTTTTCTATGTTGTAATAAAAAACAAAAATTATGGAAAAAATAATAGTTTTGAGTTAGATAGAATATATATAATAGAGTCATTCATAGGCAGCCGAAGATTTCACAATAAAATCTTGAAGGTAAGTGAAATCGTTCG